CACTAGAAAAATAGTGGTTTTGTGGATTTTTTTTTTTTTTTTTTTTTTTTCCTTTTTTTTTTTTTTTTTTTTTTTTTTTTTTTTTTTTAAATAAATGAAGACATTTACAAGGACGGTTTTCTGGACGTCAAAATGTGCTGTCATGAACCAGAAAAACATTCGCCTCGAGTGAGATCATTTCACTTTCCCACCTTCATCGTTATACATCGTTGTAGGAAGAAAGTATGTGTACGTCACGAGCGTGCCGCATTTCAACTCACCGATGAAGTCATTTGACTTGCCAAGGTCGTAGTCCCACACGGTAACCTCTAACGTCTTGGCGGCCAGCTCTGAGAAGGAGATTTCGTAGAAGAACTCCTGACAAGAAGGGGCAAAAGGTGAAGCCATTATTTCTCAAGGCGGGTCTGCTGTGTTCGTGAATGAGGCAGCATGATGATGATGATGATGATGATGTGCGAACATTAATTGCCTCCGGATGCAGCAGTGTGTGGCCGAGGTCTATAGGAGCCAAAATGAGCCTTCTCTTTGCATTCGTGCATTCAGCATCTCAACACGGACAGTGTACCTCATTAAACTCCGGGTTGAGGGTCTTTTTTATCACAGCGGTTTTGTGCTTAGACTTCTTCTGAACATCTGGCTTGAGGTACCTAAGAGAGAGAGAGTGTGACAGCGTCATTGTCTTCTTCGAATTGTCCACCGGCTGCAAGGAATAGCAATGATTTTGCTAAGCTGATTTCTTATGGAAAGCCAAGCGGGTTATCTCTGGAATTTCTGAGGCGGGACTGACTCTTGCAGTTCTCGACCGCTGCAAACAGCACCTATGTAACTCTTGAGCGATAGTTAAATTAATACTGCTCAATTTTTGAGGTTTTGTCGTTTAAAAGGCACAAATTCTGATACAGCTGGTTGGGGGTGAACAGATTAGTTCATGAGATTACTTCACCGGTCGCCTCATCGCCAATTTTCGTACATCCCGTCTTCCACTCGGCCTGTTTTCACTTTTAATTCGCCCATGTGGCGCCGACGTCAGATTATTACTTAGTGTGGAGCACCAAAATGACCATCCAACAACTCAACAGTCTTCATACATCTGCGCTAGTTTGACAGTACGATAATAAAATGGATGTGGATGAGAATAGCGGGGAGTTGCTTGTTGTGTGAATGTTGTTATTGTACAAATACAGTTTTGAGAAAAAATATTCGGTGCCGGGGCCCCTCCGCCCCACCCCTTTTATACGCCACTGCCCCCACATGCGCGCCATCGTCTTCACCAACGCCACAGATTGCATTAGCACCCCCCTCCCCACCTCACCCCAGTATTTGCAAGCCAGTTGGAAGGAGCACGGCTAAATCTCTTACTCAGTTTTCCACCCACGGCTCGTCCGTCGTGTCTGCGAGCGTATGTTCCCACACACGGGCAGACACAACAAAGCCTCTTGCGAGAAGAATTCTGATGCTTAAGGCCAGCGATCGCAAGCGTACGTGTCAAACAAAACAAAAAAGGTGGCGGGCGCATCGCCGCGCACGAGTGGGATGCGAAGGCCCGCTCGGCTAGAGGAGGCAAAATGTGGATGCGATATGCGTGTGAAAAAATATTTGTCAGCTTTAAAAATAAAAGAAAAATGAGCAAATTCCACTATTTGTTCATTAAGTATTGCTTTGTTGATTTTTGATTTGTTTGCCAAACTATGAGGAGCTTTGCGCATTAATCAATGTTTGTTTGTTTGTTTGGAGTCAAATCCGCAGCCGACGCGAAATGCGGACTCCCATCTTTAATTTGTGCGGCACGTGTGCATTTGTCAAGTCGCGTGTGGGCATGACTGCGGGTTGTTTGGCGATCCGCTCGTTCCAGGAACAAGCCAGAAAGCCCCCGGGGGGGGGGGGGGGGGTGTAGCATTAAGAACATTTCCACGCTCATTTGTCTTCTTGCTGTCAGAGCGCATCAGTCAAGCGGAGGAATCTCGCTAACCTCGCTGACACGTGCGGTATTCCTTTCCCTTTCGCCACTGCCTAATCAAACGGCGGGGGACTTTCGTGACACTAACGACCCCCACCAAACTCTGGCGTCTGCTCCTTGGCGTGACCCTAACGTTGGAGTCCATCACTCCGTTTTTTGAGGCCTGACATTCCACATGACGCCGCCATCGTTAACTTGATGAATGAACGCGCGCTGCCGACGTCTCCCGCTGGTGGGAAAGCAGCCGTCATCTGTCGCCATTATCTTGTTGGATCGGGCAGTTATTCGCGAGTGACGGCTCCAGGTGATTCGGGGGGGGGGGCAGTCTTGAGACCCTTTCTGTCCTTTTGTTGATCGTGTAACTTCTGGGCTGGGCGGATTAAAGCAAGGAGCATTCAAAGTGACCACGGTGCGTTTTCTTACGTTTTCACGTAGGGGTCGGAGAATCCGTTGACGTCCATGGCGGCCAGGTGGGCGCAGCGCTTGACGCCCACGCACAGCCCGCCGCGGGCCCCCTCACCCGGCCCCTCGCCGTCGGCGTCGACCGGGGGCACGTACTGCAGGCACAGCAGCAGGCGGCCTCGCTCCTCCAGACTTCTCTGCTGCTCCGTCTCCCACTGAGGACGGCGAGGAGACGGACGACACACGAGAAGAGAAGCAGAAGGTTGAGCCGCAGGAGCCCCGCATGGAATCAAAAGTAATGCAAGCGCACAACACGGGCGGCGACTCGAATTCTGACTTGATATGTCCCCGACGCGCTGTAAAGATACGATGCGGCTCTCGTGCTTTCGTGATGTCAAAGTCAGGGCAAAAGGTGTGTGATGAAACACGGTTTGGAATAAGATGACCCGTCTCAGAAGCCAAATACGTCACTACTGTATATGTCACTGGTATAGATGCAAAATCCATTTACAGAACGAAGTTCTCTAGCCCGACCCCAGACTGGATGATCTTATTTGCTGGAGTGATAACAAGAACCCCCCTCCATTATTATTCACTCCACCACGGGCTGTATATATCTATTTTCTTTTTTTGTAGTCAGATCCTGATTGTCGTATCGAATATCCAAGCCCGAATCAGTCGATCTTTGCATAAGCCATCTTTGATGCATGACACAGCTGAGGTTAAAAGGGCAAAATCGTGGGACTTTGGTCCTTGGTAGCCTCGCATTCCACTTTTGTTTTTGTTTTTTTTGCAGATCCTCTTCAACATTTCACAAATTGGTTGGGAAAGTGAAATGTATTGATTGGAAACTATAACAAATCTTGATTGCATCAGGTGTAGCCTGAGTCGCGAGTCGTATTGATGCATTTTATGAGTTCAGTCCTCAAACCTGCCGGGGTTAGTTTTGATGTTGACAAAGAAGAAAAACATATTGATTTTGTATGTTGGGCTCAAATCCTATATTGGTGTGTGTGTGTGTGTGTGTGTGTGTGTGTGTGTGTCTTTGTGGACTAGCAATAAGATTTTTCAATGACAGGCTTTATTCTGCGAGTTTTCAAGCATTTGACTGTTTCAGTGCCAGCAACAACATACAAGGTGTGAAAAGTTGATGTGGCAATAAACCACCTCCCGAAGGGCACTTTCACGTCGTCCAATGCTGACAATGATGGATGCAACTCCAATTGCATCTTTGCTTCATTTAGTCTGCTTTAGAGTGCCTCGATGTTGGCTGTGAGTCACATGCACGTCATTCAGAAGAAGCTGGAAAAAGTCAGGAGTTGGAGGACATGCCTTTTTCTTTGTTATTTTTTATTTTTTTCCCGTCAGTCTCGAGAGCCAGCATGTCAACTGGGGCATTTTTATAGAATGCTAGATAAAGTAGCATCCATTTTTCCAGGTCATAGCAGCAGTAGTATGTGATTGACAGTTGAGCGGGGCATGGTTTCAGGTCATTTTTCACGATTTTGGAAACTCATTTGAATATCGTTGGGCAATTTGCACTCATTCAAATTTGGCACGGTTGTTCACAATACTCTTCTCTGTGTTCAATTCCAAGACACGTTTATTAAAAATCAAATTAAAAATCGATTCGGAAGAGGTGAGAAGCTGTCCGAGTCCGAGTGCAGCGTGTCGGCCCCGAGTCATATTAATTCTGTTTATGGCCGCGGGCTTCGGTACTTTTTACATGGATGGCCGCAGACTGTTATCGAAAGTTTTGACACCCAAGCGAAGGGACGGAAAAGATCCAAAGTGACAGGTGGAAGAAAAAGGGTGAAGTGGGAGGCCGTGACTCAGCCACTTGGCCGGAAGCATCCGCACGTGCATGTTATTTGCGGGTATAGTCATATATGGGAGTGCCATCCCTGCTGCAAAAGCTCTTTTGGGGTTTTCTCGTGAAAGCCGAAACAGTCTTTCCAGTCTCTTGCCTCCTCGGTATCGCTCCGTCTCTCATTAAGTCTTATCTCCAGGCGAGAGCGGGACACACAGGAAAGTGATCAATATGCCGCACGCCCCACATTCATCCTCCCTTCGCTAATTGTCTCCCTGGCTTCTCTTCTCACAGTTCCATCCTCCTGAAGTTCTCATATTTTGGGAAAAGGGAGGGGAAGCGAGGGCTTTCGTCTGACTGATGGACTCGACAATGACTAATTTGCAGCGTGTGTGCGGTAATGAAACAGCTCAGATCTTCGCAGGTCGATACCGAGTGACTCATTAGGGAGGCACAAGCAAATAGGCATCAACGGCCGTCGCGGCACGCTCACGGACCAATGGGAAATGATTTGCTTTTTGTGGGGAGGGAGCGGACGGATGTCGCGAAAAACAATCACTGCAATCAATAAAGCACCTTGGTGACAAACATAGAGGACCAGTGAATTATCTCCACTACAAAAAAAAAAAAAAAACACCATCACAAGGGCCAAAGTGCAGCGGCGTAGTAGTTCTGACACCAAAAACTACCGGCAGACTTGCCAGTCACGGCATCGCTTCCTCACTTCGCAAAAACCAAACGTCTCCAATGTAAAAGTCGTGCGCGTCAGCATTAAATGCGGCCGCCACGTGGGCGCTTCGGGGGAGGGTCACCGAATCTGGCCCGGCTCAAATCTCTTTGATCTTGTACTAAGTTTTGCAAGCTACTTTTTATTTCTTCCCTTCTAAATATGTTTGGGTATTTGATTTCTCAATGCTTTTGAATATTGTACTGCAAAGCACATTGAGTTACCTTGTATATGAGACATGCTATATAAATAAAGCTGCCTACCCTATATGGTAGGGTTTGACCGATTCATCGAGCGGCAGATTATAAAGAAAATATTTTTTTTGGAGACTTTCTTCAGGCGTGGGATTGTTTTGGACTGAGACGCAAATGTTTCGAACAAAATACCCAGTTGATGAGAGAGAGTGACATGTGTTGGCATCCCTGTATCTAATTTTTAAAATCTTTTCAAGGTGTTATTCGATGAATATCGATTCTGCGGATGATGTACTGTACGTGGCACAACGGCATGCTGTTGTACTGGGTTTTTTTTTCTCGAGTTTTGATGGGTTCTCTAGTTGCACCGTGATTGTGGTGGCATTACGAGGTGGATTAAGTCCTGTACCGCAAAGTCCCCAGACTCCCCACTGAAGTCGTGCGTTAATTGCAGCCAGTGCATTGCTCGCGGGTGCGTATGTGAGCGCGACTACTCATTTGTCACTCCTTGTGATTGACGCGTGATCAGCCCGGGCCGGGCTCAGCCAAAGTCGGCCGGGTTGCGGCTTCACGATGCCGAACGTGGCGAGCTGTATAGAAAGAGCCCAGATACACAGCCGGCGTCATTACCTCTCTCAGGTAGCAGGAGATGCCTCGGAGTGCCGTGCTCATAGCCGTGGGTGAGGGCAGCTGCAGCAGAGGGGAGGGGGAAAAAAATGACAAGAGTCAGGCCTGAGGAATGGCTTCCTTGGAAAACACGACGAGGCACGCGTCAGCGTCATGAGACAGATGACAGAGACGTCCGAGGGCCAGTCTTAACTGCAGCCTCCCAACCCACTTTGACATCTTTATCCGTTTTCTCCATCGCGTTGAGCGGTTTGCTGCAAACGTTAGCACATCATTGTTGTTATTTCAATACAAGAATACTCGTAGCGCATTTTATGCGGACAGCTAAGTTTTCCAACCATGTTATTCTCTTGTCAACCATGTCTCTCTCTTCTTACTAGTTTCCTTTTTTTATTTTGCTGCTCACATATGGAGATAAAATCATGCAATTCGATTTTGACTACTTTTTTTTTTTCTCAGATTAATGTCATTTTATTCTGAGGTCAAAACGTTTTTCTTCTTTCTGTAAGCGTGATACACAACTAAGGAAAGTAGTGAAAGGCAGGTCAGTAAGTAATCGAGAATTTAAAAAAAAAAGTTATACGGGTAGGTACGTAAGTAGGAAATGTAGGTAGATAAGTAATAAAGGTACATTGGTAAGCAAGTAGTAAAAGTAGGCATGTCAATAATAAAAGTAGGTCAAGGAGGAAGTTATTCAAGGTGGCAAATTTGGTATTTGTGTGCACTGGGTGGAACCGTCCCTCCCTCTCAGCGTGTATTTTTCTTCTCACAGGAGGTGGGTGCTCCAGACAGATGTTGAAGTGTTTCGTCTGGTCGGGCTTCACGCGGCGCAGGGCCACCCGCGACTCCCCAATGAACTCGTTGTGCGTCAGCTTGTCCTCATCGCACACGGACACTCTGGAAGCGGAAGAAAGAGGAAAATAGAAAATGAGAGTGGAGGAGGAGGAGGAGCAGCAGCAGCAGCAGCGCATCAATAAAAGGTAGAAGCTGATGAACGAAGACTGAGAATGTTGAGGATGTTGGTCATTGTAAGGCAAAGAGTGCCTGTTTTGATTTCATATAACTTGGCGCTTTGGGCTTTGACTTTAATTTGTTGCGTGACTGAAAACTTGCATCTCAAATCATCCGCGCCCGTTGAAATGAATGCAAATTGCACGGATCTGTTCTGGTATCTATCTAATATATCAAATTAATGCGAGTACAATCCATCTTTATTTAGATAGCACGTTCACAACAGCTGCAGGCGTGACAAAAGCGCCTTTCACAGAACGTTTTGGACATTTGTACAAGGAACACTTTCATGGCTGTGCGGATAGAGAAAGTGTATCCTGCCGGACTGAGTCGATCCTGATTTATGGATCCATCCCGGTTTTACACCTGCCACCTGCACAAGGCCTAAGTGGAAGGCAGCGGACCGGTGGAGGAAGGTGGCGTGTTTGCAATCAAAAGCAGCCAGCGAGGCGAGCGAGGCCGCAAGGAGGGGATGGAGGCCGGGCACCACGCGAGATATTCATTATAGTCTAACAGTGCCGGCGAGGTTGCGCATCGGGCGATACGGCCGCTCAAGAGAAGCGGCGCTGCGCTTCAGATGAGATTCCGCCTTTTAAGAAATCCAAAATAGGGATGAGACCAGCAAGTATGATCTCTCCCGTGCGCTTATTTGTCTGAAAACTCCAAAATGAATGGCGACAGAAGGCGATGATGAAAGACGTGATTGCGCAAAGGGAGCCAGATGTCGCTGCGGGGCACAGGTGACAAACCTCGGAGGTAATATCAAGTCAAGTAGCGCACATTACAGACACTTTGGGAACATTTGGAAAGGGCAACGGGAGGCGACGTGCTGATGGATGGCGCCGATGTGCGAGACGCAGAGAGTCAAGGGATCGCTGCGTCCGCCGCTCCGACGAATGGGGCAGCGGCATAACAGAACATTCCTGGCTCGTCTCGAAATGCAAAATGCTCAATTGTTCCACACGCTCTTGAAACTGCGATGCCTAAAGTAGCCCACGGCCAATTGTACACAATGTTTCAATTCTATAGCCCAAAATATACCGTAAGCTATGTCAAGCAACGCTGTATAAAAATGGCACCGTAAACACGATGACACGTTTCTAAACGATATTCTCTGACAGATTCGCCTCGCCTGACTCTGCTTCCTGCAGAGGGGGAGATTAAACGCGTAGGTGGGGGAGTAAAAAAAAAAATTTTAAATTGCATCACAGCAAAACTGAGTTCTGCTCTTTTGTCACATTTGAATAAAGCAGCCGAGCAGGAATGGGATGATTTGCTTTTGTGTCCGCGTTATAACTTTTTTTGCGGGGGGGAAGAGAATCTGCCTGATCATATTTTCGAAAGATTGAGAATCTCTCAAGGTTTTATCTTTGCAGGAAAGCGTTAGGGCAACATATTAGGCAGCGCTGCCCGACGTGACAAATGATCATCTTTTATTTGCATCTGGAAAAAAAAAAAAAAACACAAAACCTTTCCGAATGTAACCATATTCTTCTCGTTGATTTATTCACAGCCATCGCATTCAAATGTTCAGAACACTGAACGCTGTCTTCGGGTTCATTGGAGTTGACCTTCTGAACAGAACGACATTATTTTTTACGGTAGATATAAATTAGCCGCGGGGATTGCGGATAACCCTCAATAAGATATTGTGACATTTGCTCCGGCCTTGAGAGAGCTTCCGCCTTACCAGAGCGAGACAATGTCATGATCAGGCGAAGAAAACATCTCTGTGGTACGAAACGATATCTATCTTTGCTTGCACGTCAAGCATACGGAACGTGACTGACTTTGTCGGAAATGAAGCCAATTTATTCAAACGCAGCGCAGCGAACCTCCATTGATCTTGTATTTCAGCTTATGTGGCTGTACCCCGATGGGATCCAGCCTGTCACATTTTAATGGGCTGATATAAGGCCATAACGTAAGACTAAGCCAAATACAAATCTAAAACGCACATTATGGCGCGTGTGGGTATGAAGGGACCAAAAAGACTTGATTCAACAGGCCTGGCGTGGTCGGTCCATCTTGCCTTGATAGTCTGCCTTCATTTCTGCATGTTGACTCGATTTTTAACGATGGCATTTGCAATTTCATTGCAAGTTTGAAACGAAGCTGTCCTTGGAAAAGACAAATGGATTCTTCCCGTCCAGGTCAATCAAAATGATTACTTTCGACCGTAGCAAACGAACCGGCATGGCTGAGAATCCATTGTCATAACACTCGACCGTCGTGGCTTCTTAAAATGACATCCAAATCAAAAGATTGCTTTTTACTTTGGCTTGATTCTGCTTGCTTTTTTTGTGTGATGTGCTCTGCTTTGTGTTGGACGAGGTTTTGGATGATGTGCGCGTTATATTGCATGAAATCCTGAATGTGGATGCCACGTTGAACAATGACTTGTCAGTTAAAGCGCGTGCAGGCAAAATTGGGAGCTGGTCTGAGCCATTCAACTGAAGGGGTGAAAATCGCTCATTATAGATTAAAAAAATAATAATAATAATTAAGCGGCTGTAATTTCATTTTCCCAAATATCAGAATCGGCATCTGCCTCCCAAAAAATCTGTATCGGCCTACTTATAAGGCACACGTCGTCATCTGCCGCCCTTGAGACCTCCTCCGCCGACCACAGTGTCACAGGTCAGTCATCCCCCAGGGATTGTCTGTCGATCCCGTTTAAATTCTACACGGGCAAAGTTTTAGTCGCACGGACGTGACGATTCCCAGCTTTTCTCACCTTTGGTGGTGGCAGGGGCTCTAGGAAATGAAAACACCCCGTGGTGCTTAAGCGTGACCCCAATCTGTCACAGCCAGACAAAGGGAGGGGGAATGAGCGGAGATCTTCACTGATCCCGGCGGCCAGCAGCAGCAGCCGCGGCGGCGGGGAGCGTGGGAACGCAGTGTAACGCAAGGCATAAAAGGCCTTAGAGCACGGCACGCGGGGGCTGCCATCCAAACGGGCCGCAGGACGGGAACACTCACCGCAGCGTTTTGCGATACATGTCCTCCTCAGTGATGCCGCAGTATGTGAGCGTCTCGTTCCACACCGGGTTCAAAGTGTTCCGGACTGTCTTGGTTTTCAGTTTGTTGGCCTGCGGAATACCAAAAGAGAGTCACCGGCTCGTGTTCTGCCAAACCTCGTCGGGGGACACCGGGAGAGATTTGGCAAACCAACGCAAAGGCAGTTGCAATCGTTGGGCCCGGTCGTCTTACTCGCGCAGCGCAGTAGCGTACTACTTTTGATTGCGCCGCAGTTGGCCAAAAGTGGCACTCGTCGTGGTTCTTTATTCAATAGAAATTATTTATGACGGCAAAAGCCGAGCATTCCCGTCGCTGACGTCGTTGAGAAAGCAAATGAGTCCGAGAGTGCACTCCATTTTCAAATGATTAATGACCACGCCATTCCAAATATTCAATTTCCTTTGGCATAATCAGGCAGGTTAGCCAGGGACAAAAGATTGCCCTTAGCTTGCACGCAAATCTCCCACGCTATGACTGGCTCCTGATCAATTAGCTCAAAACAAGGCTGACAAGATTGCGACCTTGCAGGCTCCCGGCAAAAGGTGCAGCTTCACGTAGGGATCAGCCAGCCCGTTGAAATCCATCGGTTTCAGACCCTTGCGGAGACAGAGAGACAAAGCACAATCCGTGAGGGGGGGAAACGAAAGAGTGAAGCAGAACGTTTAAGCGAATGCCCGGAACAGTCCATTAAGGGACGAGCCGACGGAAAGGTGCAGGCTTCCTTTTGGAGATTGAATTTGCCCCACGCGGACGGCGCCGGCGGATAGATGAAAAGGTCTTAGCTACGAACCTCCATCGATGAATTATTCAGTCGGAATTTGACCCGGACAAGTGCTTCTCAAACTTTTCACGCCAACGGCTCGGCTTCGTATCATCATCGTGACCAAATGGAGTTCGAAATTTCACTCGTCCGTATTGCGCGAGTACCGCACCGACTCGACACGAGTTAGCAAACGTCTCTTCAAAACTGCAGAGAGGTGAAACTTGAAACGGGTGAATCATTCAACCGCAACGGTGATCTTTTTTGTTGGCCTCCATCAACACGTGACTGTTTAATTCCGATGTTCCGGCCCGGCGCGGGCGTCTTTTGAACGCATCTTTTCCAAATGTTCCCAACCATTTGCGACGCTTTCATGCGCCCGGTATCGACATTTTACAGCAACGCCGGCGGCTCTGTGAGTGTGCGTCGATCATCAAAGTGGCGGGCTTTGGGCCAAACAAATCCGATGCTTTTCATGTGTTCAAATGACATGCAAGCGCCCCCAAAAAAAGAAGAGAACAGAAAAGAGTCACGTTTGATCCCGATTGGATTGTTGCGCTTGTTTTTATTTTGATGTCGAGTACATGAATTCAGGATGGGTCGATTTGTGTTTCCCAGCTTGTACAGCGGGACCTTGGAGTCGGACTCAAATCAGTTTTGCCCATTGAAATTCATTCAAATGTCATTTATCTGTTCCCTCTCCCACCCCAAAAAACAAAAAAACAAAGCGCAACAAAACATGAAGTTGTTTGCCTACCTTAGCTTTGAGGACAGTGCAGTGCAAGGAGCTGGTGGCTCGGTCATACAGCAGGTCAAACTCCAATGTACCCAAAGATGCTGTGAATAGATCACAAATGATTTTTTTTCTTTTTTTTCCATGCGATTCCTCTTCACACCTCCACCCGTGTGGCTTATTCAAGGATTAAAGGACTGCGCACGATCATTCATCCCAATTTGAAATAATGCATGAAAGACTCCTTCACACACGTGCACGTTTTTTTTTTTTAATAATATTTAAGGCAATGACGCACGTTGCCTGCGGTGAGGGCCCAGAGGGTTGAATGTGATAGAAATCTTCAATTCCAAAATAGTCGCATGTAGGCTACGTCACACTTGAAGCTGTGATGTTCTTCTTTGGAGCGTCGTGGTACAATTGTGACACATTAAATCATGTCGGCAGCCGTGACGTTCTTAATTAAAACCATATCGGAGCATTCTTGCAGCGGGAATGAATAGCTTAAGCAGAATTAGTGTCCTTTTTGTACAAGGTACAACTATATTTTTGACGAATTTTTACTTCTTACATTTCGGCTTGCTACTTTTTTCAACCTTTTGCGGCTGAAAACTCCACATAAATAGAATGAGGTGAAGTCACAGTCAAGTCCTTTTTTTTTTTTACTTTTGTCCGTGTGCATTTCGGAGTTGCACCGGTACTTCGACTTTTTAGGACATTACTGATCAGAAAATATATGCGCTGCTGCTAAAAAAAAAACAAACAAAAAAAAAACCTAACCAATCCAACTCTCTCTGGGGCCGCGTACCAAATTGGGGCCACTGATTGGCCACCACCGTTCTATTGGAGCAGTGCTTTCTATTTTTATTGCTCCAGCATCTTGTATGTGACTCACTGTTATCGTCGCTGTCACAGCTGTCCACCTCGATGGAGGTGTCGATGCTGCTCATGGCGGACAGTGAACCCCCCGCGCCGCCGCCGCCGCCTCCCGCCGCTAACAAGGGCGACAACAGGCCGCCGCCGCCTCCTCCCACTGCGCCTTGACCCGTGCCGCCGGGGCTGAGGGCTGCGCTGGCCCCCGTCTGATTGGGCGAGATCGGCTCCGAGAAGGAGGAGGTGGGCGACAGGCGGGGGAAGTAGGCGGAGATTTGACGGATAGGCCGGATGGGTCCCGGGCAGACGTCGATGGCCATGTGCTCCTGGATGGTGATGGCTAAAGTTTTTCCTTTCCGCACGGTCATTGGGATGAAGGTCGAAAGACTGAAAGGGAAGAAGTCGCGTCACAACTCAATTCATACAATACATCAACTCAATTTTCCCCACTAAAATGGATTCGACTACCGTTATTTCATTCCAAGTCACCGAGGAAGAGGACATCAGCTCACCACAAGCTCCAAATATATTGTTAGGGCCTGACTGTTGTGGATGATTATTTATTTTTGGGGGTGTGGGGAGGCCGATGCTGACTCTTACATTTAGCAGAACAAAATTCTGATAAAGAATCTATAATGAACGAGAACTTCTTTTCAGTCGTTAAAGTGTACAACAACAAGCAGAATATTTGACAGTTTTACAATACTTGGTCCAATACAAAAGAGAGAAAAATCAGCCAAAATTGGCTGATTTTTGTCGATTTTTTTTTTTTAATCATCGCTTAAACGTCAATATCTTTGCTTTATGTTGTAAGCTGTTTAAAAAAAATAATAGAAAAAGGCTGATATTGGCCGATTAATCTGTCGTGTTGTAATTAGCAATGTTTTGTTTGCACATGCCTTTAGATGTTATATTTGTGAAGCCCATTGAGCTACCTTATATAAATAAAGCTACAGAAATAAAGCTGCCTTGCTTTCCCTTCTGAGATTGTAAAAGCCATAATTCATTCAGATATTAATTCTTTTCCTACTGTTTATTCTACTCAGGATGGTGGCAGAGCTGGAGCCCTTTCCAAATGACTTTTGGCGATACACACCGGACCGGCTGGCAGCTAATCACAATCACACCTACAGGTACGGGCAATTAGCGTCCACCATTGTGCCGCCAACCGTTGTAATCTTCCCAGAAATGTAATTAGTGTGGTCTTACATTACTGTGTTACAGCAGAAAGTGACAGTTACACCATAGTTGTTAGTTGTGTATCATAGTTGTGTGTCTGGCGATTCCCAATATGGGGGAATTTCATGCGGATGAGGCTTTTATTTGCTCGCAAGTAAGAATGCGGACTGCTCACGCGCTGCAATAATGACAAATGTCACCCAAAGGAAGGAAGTTGTAGAAAACAGCAGATGGTGGGCTCTCATTTGCATTTGCGTGGACGACAGTGGAATTCGCTTGAGGCTATTGGGGTAAAAGATGAAGCATTACGCTGAGCAAATCTCTCGCCCCCAAGCCTCCATCCTGCTCGATCAAATTGCAGCGTCTCATCTGAATCCTCCAGAAACAATCAGGCGATTATGGGATGGAATCTATATCGCTGAGCCGGTCCTCTTCAGCATAATGGCATGACGGTTACGTAAAGTTGTGTTGGCAAAGCGTCGAGTTGACCACGACCGGGCCGACGCGTCTGTTCCCGTCCTTAAATAAACAAGAGGGGGCCGCGTTGAAAAGATCTGGTGGCGTTTGTTTTCTAAAGATGGAACGCAGCTGGCCCCGGCGGGGGCGTTTTGTCTTCGGAGGTTGATAAATCCCCCTCTGGACCACCCGCAGCATCCATCGATTGGAGGCGAGGTGTTATATCTCTGGACTTTAGTGTGTGGGGGGGGGGGGTAGCTGGAGACTTGGTGAGTCACACACTTTCTCACAGTTTTGGCAGGCCTTGGCATCAAAGAATGGAAGCTGTCCAAGTCGCCAACAGAGCACACTCAGGCGACATAAACAGAAGTGATTGATTGTGTTTTGGGAAAAGATTTACATGCAGATAATAATGATCCGGACCAAAACGAACTCGACGCTCCCATATGTGATATGCATTTCAAGACAGTAGTTGGGAAAACTGATGCGGTGTCAAAGCCAATAACAATCTCTTTACTTTCAAGAAAAATGCGGTGAAGCAATCATGTGTTCACATTCAATCGGAAGCCTTTGCAGTCGTCAGGGAAGGGGTGCAGAAAGCACACGGCTCAGAAAAGATCTGTCTATGATTGTTGACCTTCCACGCCATCGCAGGGTCATTTGTCACAGAGGCTCAACCGGTCTCTGCGCTGCGAGCGCAAACAGCGGGCGACGTGCATCAAAGCTCATTCAGCCAGCGTCTCCTTGGCTGACGATGAAACAATCATCAGAGGCCAACGCCGGCGTGCCAGCCCCAAAAAGGTCTTTGACGTATTCGACTGATACCCCGTTGACATCCGTTTTAGTCCCTAAAGCAGCACTAGAGGCGCACTGCACATTCATTGGCCCACCACATCATTTTACTCATCAAATTCTTTTCCATTATTTTAATATATATATATATACGGTGTGGGACAAATAAAGGATATCTAATCTAATCTAATATTTTTTTTTTAATGTTGGGCCAGCAACGCAAACAAATGCAACGGAACTGCCGCGCAGTGTGCGGCGTTGAATATTTGCTAGTTTTGCTGCTATTCAAGATGAGAATTGCAGGTGAAAAGCGTAATGTGGCAGGTGATACGGCCAATCAAAATGCCATGCATGCTGTATCACATTCGCAACAAAAATGACAGCGATCCATCTAGCCGCCACTAAGTTCTATTTATACACGAGCATTTTACCATAGTGCTAAACGACATATATTTGTGGCTAAAAAGCAAAGCGTGTAGGGTCTGTTACCCAACTGCATGTCAATCGATAGGGCTAAGAGGCCTGACCATTTTTACCGTTTCAACGGAAGCAGTTTTAAAACCGGATAAAAGCGAATGATCAACACGTGTCAAGCATCTCATCGTTTACCCCGCAAAACACGACTGAAACTGCCCCAGCGAAACAAAAAACCCTGACATCGATGTTCAGTAATGAATTTCAAGGCTTGGAGAAAAACAAAAATGACAGAGAGATTCATTTGTTCTGATTAGAAGATAAATAGAAGTCTAGTAAAATGTGACAGGAGGTGCACAGAAATGCCAGTGAACATGCAGATTGCATCAGTTCATTAATGCACTCAGACAATGCGGCTGGTTTTCGCAGGCGTGTGCGTGCGCTGAAGTGATGAGCATAGTCAGTGGCACATGTGGCTCTGAGCCCACATGCAGTCGCAGGGCCTGTTGGCTCGCAGGGAGGAAAAGCAACAACAACAACAACAAAAAAGCTGGCAGCGCGACGCTAATTGATCACTCTCATGACGGCCGCTTTCATCCTGTCGTTTCATCCTCACATCGGGATAACTCCTCACTCACTCTTTGAGCTAAAAAAAAAAGACTTCAATAATATGGAGGGAGATACCTGGCTCAGCGTAAAGATCATTTTCCATTCTCTCAAGGAACAACAACAATCATGCGGCGAAAGCAGGTATCACAGCGACTGTTTGAAACAATACGTCTGGAAAGGTCTCTTGTATACATGAGGAAGTAAGTGTGTCTTTGATATCCACCTTTAGGTCCATGTAGCCGGATTCTCTTTGTCCTTCACTCGAAACACAATGCTTATTCCATTCGTCGTGCATCATAACATCTAAATGTTGATGCACCGTGTTTGCTTTGAACTCTGTGCTCCACTAATTGCCCAAAAGTTCAGTCGTTCATCTATCATCGTGTTTGTTTTTTTTTTTCTTTTTCTCTTCGCTCTGTGGTGCTTCCCGCCAGGGGGTCAAGAAACGCCACTGCTCGTATCCTTAATTGCGGACCAAGAGCGCACTAGTTCGTGGACCTTCAGCCCGATATCAAGGATATCTAAAAATAAATACTCAAACAGCTTTCCATCGTGTCTGCTGCATCCAACTATCATTTTTGTTCTCGTCTCATCCCAGGATTCCACTCTTGTCTAACTTGACTGATTACATCTTTGATGCAATCAAACATGAGCTATCACCCCCCCCCCCCCCCCCCCCCCCACAAAACAGGCTCAACAGTCTAATCAGTCATTAGTCAGTATTAAGTCATGGAAGCAATCCATGTATGACTGTGGAGATTTTTCTCCTCTGTAAACATGTCATGATGTCGGCTGACCCTTTGCATGCCACTTATATTGAATAGTTCCCATACGCTGAGGATAATGATGCTCAAGTTGTGCGCAGCTGCCGCGGCAGCAGCAGCAGCAGCCCTGTGGCTCTGTAGTTTAACAATCGCTACCGTATAGATGCTGAGGAGTATATTTCTGCTCTCCATGCCTCCTCCACCTCCTCTTCTTTTAGCGCCTTCACTTTAAATTAGACTCATACCGCAAGCGTGGACGACTCCCCCCGCTCGCTCCTCCTTTTAAATCCGTATCTCTCATTCACGCTAAAGTCACTTATGTTTGTGCACCTGCAGCGCATATCTGAAAATGTACCCCCCCCCCCACATACACATCCACACACATCTTCACCTTGAAATAAGCAGCTGTCAGTCACATGCCACAAGTTGAGTGCCAGCCAGGGCTACTGGAGCTGCAGCGCAGCGAGCCGCCGTCAATTCGAGCCAAGTCAGGGATGAGTACGTAAACTTCAACCTGTGTGTGTGTGGTGGAAGAGCAGCCGAGGCACATCTGCCACATGTTGCACCGGTTTAAAGAAGAGCATCAGCCGGCGTCTCGCCTCGCATCGTTCCGACTGGCTCGTCAGGCAAAATGATGATGTGTGCGCAAATGCGACGGTAACTTACCTCAGAGCGATTGTGAAACTCATATAAGACAAGAAGAAGAGGTTCAGGAGGAGGAGGAGGAGGAGGGATTCCGGCGCAGCGCAGCCAGGGAGACTAACTAACAGGTGGCGGAGAGAGGAGTGCAGAGTAGATGCAGCAAGTGGAGGAGGAGGAGGAGAGAGAGAAAGAAAGAGGAGGGAGGGCTCGTAGGACCCGAATGTTGGGCTCACGGCGTTGACGGTGAAATATTAAAAGTGTGCCCATAGATCAAGTAGTGATGAGAATGAGGAGCTTGGGAGGGTGCATGAGAACAACATGCGGGAGGAGGAGGAGGAGGTACTGAAGAGGAGAGAGAGAGAGAAAGAAAGCGACAGACAGCGGGGAGTCATTTCTTGTGTAGCACGTGTGGCTTCTCGCAGACACACTCATACGAGATAAACACACACACACACCTACACATGTTTTGGGAGGACAATCCCTTGATTAATGTACAAGCATTTGTCCCCCAACCTTTCGCTCAGTGACGTGCTGCATTATTCGAATATTATTCAGTCGATGAAAATAGCTTTCGATAACCCCAACCCAAGCCAAACACCCAACCTGCTTTCAACAAATGACCTCTGACACGACGACAAAACCCAGAAACCAAAGACAATCCCCAAAGCCTTGAACCTGATCCCAAAACCAGAACCTCAAAATGCACCCCCTAAATTTGACCCCAAACCCTCCATTTAACCCATGACCACAAAAAATCCAAAGTCTTCAGCCAAGCCCAAAAAAGCGAACGCAAACTTTCAACGCGAACCTAATGCAAGCCAAGCCTCGGACTGATCACTTGGGCGCGTTTTGAAACGCACATCCATTCGTTGTCACGCTCGCACCGTCGCACTTGTTGTTGACCCACTCCCACTCGAGCCGGCGTCTTCGTTCGGCTGGACGCAGTCCTGAACAAAAGCAGCCCGACGCGGTCATCTTTGCGCCGTGACACATTCGACGCTCGGCCGTTTGACAATGGGGGTCAACGATCCATGCTGAGTCGTCCTCCCGCAGATTTGCGCCTGCCCTCAACTGTCTTCGCGAATAAATTCACCACTGGGGATCGGCGCCCGGAGTGACCAAAACACCGGAGGCCACGTTGAAGGAGGATAGCGAGGAGGGCACCAAGCTTCAGGCTTTTTGACACGAATTGAGCGCTACCTCCCCAGAATGCAAACGCTTTCATTCATTTAGCCACAAAGTCTCACACACACATACACACACACAGGTTTTGTTTAATTAAACTTAAGTGCAGTCTGAAAAAAAAAAATGGCCACCTCATTAATTCTCCCAGTCACCCAATTATGTCCCTTTTTGCATGCACACTTATTCAGCCTAGTCTAGCCGTTATTCGTCCTTTCAGAGAGGCGTGAATAAATCCAAGTTTGACGACAGACGTGAGAATACACCGAAACAATCAACGGTGGCCAAGTTGCACACATCACAAAAATTCATCACGGTCCACCAAGGGTTTAATTCTTTCCACGCTGTGTCGATCACACATTTTTGTTGTTTTTCTAGTCTGTTAGGTGCGGGTTGTATTCAATATATGGCAGTTCCAAGATGCAATTGTTTTGTGTCAAATGTCTCCTCTTTGGTCTTTTAAGCAAAATTAGGCATATTCTCTCTCCCCCACCCCACCCGACAAGTAATAGTTGCTCCATATAATTAGGCTTCAGCGTTCTCGAGTCACTGTCAGTGATCGACAAGCGGAAACGTGCTATTTGTCCCTGCATACACCAATTAGTGTCTTTGTGGACTCATTTGTGTCTTTTAATAGCATCTTTTTTTTTAGTGGAAAACATTACGAACAATGAATGTGTTTTCCGACTTTTTTTTTGGTTTAAGATATTTATGCTTCCCTTTCATGGCGTTCCCTTGTGGCTCTCTCTGCATCCCCATCTCCTCCATCCTCTTCGTCCTTCCTCTGCAGCCGAGCGTAGAACACACAACACGCGCCTGCCCGCACACCAGTCATGTATGTTTTGCTTGCACTGAAGTGATGCCATGGCCTGGACGGACACGCGTGACTGCGTTAACATGATGGTGTCATGCACAAAACCCTGCAGAGCAAGATGACAGCGCTTCACACACACACATTTCCCCATCCCCTTTATATTTTTAGTGTTGGGCGGCCTCCGTCGTTGCGGCTTTTTATCATTGCATATTTGCGTTTTTTTTTTTAAATATATGTCTGTATGTTTATAACAACTGAAGAGCTCATTACAAATGCAGTCAATGTTAAAGTGCTCCCCAAGGGATACAAGCTGACAACAGCTGGGTAATGATTCGACATACATAAGTAATATATGGCCCAAATTATTATTGTTATTGTTCTTGTTATTTATTTATTTATTTATTTTTTGGCTTGCCGATTAAAAAGAAAAAAACCCCAAAATCAGATCAGCGCACTGTATGGTGGCTGTATGGAAGCCGTTTGGGCAGATAGTAAACGTTTCTTCCCAAATAGAGACTTCAGTTAGCGTAATGCTAACACATAATGGGAAACACCTTAAACCGGGCTAACGAACGACACTTATAGTCTGAAAATATAACAGTACTGACGGGCCGAAATCCTTGATCCTCTGCGAAGACACAGCTATTATTGCTGCGTTTCACTGAGTCATTTACAGTCATTGTGGAAGTCTCTCCGACTGTGTGTGCTCTTAATGATGCCCTCAACGTCAAGCACCGCTTGAGCGTCGGCCGCCATCAAAAAGCCATAAAAAATGGAGATCACATACAGTGGCAATTAACGGCAAACTTGTATTTCAGCGAAAACGCGACAATTATGCTGATTATTTTCTGCCCGAGCTACCTCCCCAGAATGCAAACGCTTTCATTCATTTAGCCACAAAGTCTCACACACACATACACACACACAGGTTTTGTTTAATTAAACTTAAGTGCAGTCTGAAAAAAAAAAATGGCCACCTCATTAATTCTCCCAGTCACCCAATTATGTCCCTTTTTGCATGCACACTTATTCAGCCTAGTCTAGCCGTTATTCGTCCTTTCAGAGAGGCGTGAATAAATCCAAGTTTGACGACAGACGTGAGAATACACCGAAACAATCAACGGTGGCCAAGTTGCACACATCACAAAAATTCATCACGGTCCACCAAGGGTTTAATTCTTTCCACGCTGTGTCGATCACACATTTTTGTTGTTTTTCTAGTCTGTTAGGTGCGGGTTGTATTCAATATATGGCAGTTCCAAGATGCAATTGTTTTGTGTCAAATGTCTCCTCTTTGGTCTTTTAAGCAAAATTAGGCATATTCTCTCTCCCCCACCCCACCCGACAAGTAATAGTTGCTCCATATAATTAGGCTTCAGCGTTCTCGAGTCACTGTCAGTGATCGACAAGCGGAAACGTGCTATTTGTCCCTGCATACACCAATTAGTGTCTTTGTGGACTCATTTGTGTCTTTTAATAGCATCTTTTTTTTTAGTGGAAAACATTACGAACAATGAATGTGTTTTCCGACTTTTTTTTTGGTTTAAGATATTTATGCTTCCCTTTCATGGCGTTCCCTTGTGGCTCTCTCTGCATCCCCATCTCCTCCATCCTCTTCGTCCTTCCTCTGCAGCCGAGCGTAGAACACACAACACGCGCCTGCCCGCACACCAGTCATGTATGTTTTGCTTGCACTGAAGTGATGCCATGGCCTGGACGGACACGCGTGACTGCGTTAACATGATGGTGTCATGCACAAAACCCTGCAGAGCAAGATGACAGCGCTTCACACACACACATTTCCCCATCCCCTTTATATTTTTAGTGTTGGGCGGCCTCCGTCGTTGCGGCTTTTTATCATTGCATATTTGCGTTTTTTTTTTTAAATATATGTCTGTATGTTTATAACAACTGAAGAGCTCATTACAAATGCAGTCAATGTTAAAGTGCTCCCCAAGGGATACAAGCTGACAACAGCTGGGTAATGATTCGACATACATAAGTAATATATGGCCCAAATTATTATTGTTATTGTTCTTGTTATTTATTTATTTATTTATTTTTTGGCTTGCCGATTAAAAAGAAAAAAACCCCAAAATCAGATCAGCGCACTGTATGGTGGCTGTATGGAAGCCGTTTGGGCAGATAGTAAACGTTTCTTCCCAAATAGAGACTTCAGTTAGCGTAATGCTAACACATAATGGGAAACACCTTAAACCGGGCTAACGAACGACACTTATAGTCTGAAAATATAACAGTACTGACGGGCCGAAATCCTTGATCCTCTGCGAAGACACAGCTATTATTGCTGCGTTTCACTGAGTCATTTACAGTCATTGTGGAAGTCTCTCCGACTGTGTGTGCTCTTAATGATGCCCTCAACGTCAAGCACCGCTTGAGCGTCGGCCGCCATCAAAAAGCCATAAAAAATGGAGATCACATACAGTGGCAATTAACGGCAAACTTGTATTTCAGCGAAAACGCGACAATTATGCTGATTATTTTCTGCCCGAGGGACTGCGCGATCAAAGAGGGTAATGCCAGCTGAACGCCTTGTTGTGCGTCACTGCGAGGAAACAAATTGGCAACAATGTGAGCAAAGTGTTTCCGCACGTGCACGTCCAGCATGCGCGCGACCCCCCCAAGCAATACACGAGCCTCGCGTATTGCCGGGGTGCACTTTCAGTAAAGGCTCGACAATTAAAAAAGTGATTGATCTTCATTGTTTTGAGGACAGTGGGCTTGATTTGGTCCCAGCGTTACAAAACCAAACATCAAAGTTTTACTTGTTGTGTATTCAAAACAACCTCATAACTGCCTTCTTCTGGTCCACCAGCTGAATGCCACCACCACAGATCGTCATGTTTTGTACCACAAGCGTGACCACAGAACAAATCCAGCTTGAACCTCAAGGCACCACTATAAAGGCAACGGGTCTGTTTCGTGAACCAATCAGATTGCAAATTGGCTCAAAGAGTTTTCATTCATGACAGACTCCCTTTATTTATTTATTTATTTATTTATTTATAATAAACCTAATCAGGTCGACAAAATTGCTTTTGGACTTATCTTGGAAACGAGAGCCAGAATTGATTTTTTTTAGCACTTTGATTTTTGTTCCTTTTGAGAGCACCAGTACTGCGGTTCAACCAGTCCTTGTGCGGCAAATTAGTCACGGTCTGTTTGTGTTGCAGCAGCTCACACGACGGCGCTGAAGCGTTTTAGAAAGACGAATGGCAGCAATTAGTCTCATAAAATATTCTGCTGAGAGTGCGCCTTTTCGCCGCTTGCGCGTCAAAGTGCTTGGATGGATTGTAATTTGTGCGCGCCACAAGTCATACTGGTTAGCTTCCTTCAAGAAGAAATGTGTTTGTTTTCCCATCCGTGGTTGTAGCCATGTTGCTCATGACGACTCCCCGCACATAATTTATGCAAATCCTATGAGCCGTACACTTACACACAACAAAAGGGGTTCGAACTGAAGCTTACAATGTGTCTGAATAATACTTTGCTCCAGATATTTACATGTTGACACCATCGTGCAGGGCGCTAACACAGCCACGCATGTCAAGAGCCGCTGTGGCTAAGAAAAGCCTCCACACGAGTGCGATGATACACTCAAGCACTACTTTGAAACCAACTACAGTACTACTTTTAAGCAGCATTATTCTCGCATATCAAACGCCATCGCAGCTCCCAGCAGCAATAGAATCAAAAGAAAGGGGGGACGGTGAAACAACTTTGAAATTGCAACTCAGAAGGTGCAAAAAGCACACGCCGTCTCGTGACATGCAAATGCTCAAAGTGGCAATTTCGGAGGTCGGGCTTTGTTGCTAATGCGAGCGGAGGTTTAAATTGCAAAAATGTTCTTTTTTTTTTTTTTTTTCTTCTTCAAATGAGAGCACGCCGTCGAAAAAAGGGCAAACGCGCAGCCTCAGGTGATATGTGGCCTGCCGCCATTTGGATGCAAAAACACTCCAAAGGGCATTAAAAAAAAAAAAATGTTTTCAGTCTGGTGTCTCGGTGAAACTATTATACAGGAGGCGTACTTAGAAATACAAAAAAAAAAAATCCCACAAATGTTTTAATTAAGTCTGCACAAAAATGGTTCTCGCCCAGGGCTGGTTAATCTTATACAGAGTAAAAAAAAAAAAAAGGATTCATTCTCTCCCTGGCCGCGAGGCAAATTTTTTTTATTTTTTTCTCAACTCGCTTCTTGTAATTTTGCAACTTTTATTGTTTGTACATGTGTGTGCGCGTGCACGTGACAGATTTGTGTTTGAAGCTCCGATGGCGAATTTGATATGCAAATCAGACAAGCGTCTTTAATTTACACCGTGGAAGATGACAGCGCGTTGAGGAACACATCTGAGGAACTTGAAGGCTTTGGAGAAAAACAGTTCGGCTGTCAGCTGAGCATTCTCAGGTGTTTTTTCTACACGATTTCAGACATTTATTGTCATATTTGTGATTATTATGTCCAGTTGTGAAAGAAAAAGAATTGTCTTGTCAAAAGCTACAAAAGGACCCCAAAAAAAGGAAGCTCAATTTTCCCAATTTTATGGTGCGCCCCTCGAAGTCATGATGCTTTGAATTTGCCACCCGCAGATTCAGGGATGGCACAACAAGCTAGTGGATTGACTAGTCTAAGGTATATGCTTGTTTGTTTGTTTGTTTGTTTGTTTTCTCTTGTTGTTTTTTCTTGACTTTTCATAACTCAAAACATTTTATGTCTTAATTTTTCCATTTCTCCCTGTTGGCAAAAGACTCACAGCTGTAATGTTCTGTGTTATGCTTTCACTCGAGTGAAGGTTTTGGGCAACAAATGGTTTCCGTTCCGGTGCTCGGTAAATGTCGTCCCTGTGCACGTTTTGTTTTAACGTGTGCCTATTTTGTGTCTGATTATAATCCGCGCTCCTCGCACGCACAAATATTTCTGCTCGCTATTCAATCCCCAAGCTGATGGCCCCGATTGTTTTCTGCCATCCAGTTGCTAGGAAACACCGGAACTGGCGGCGGCGCTCGGCTTCCCTGAGCCACGGCGAACGAGGACGCGGGTGAGGCGACGAGGTCGGGAGGTTCGGAGCTGACAGTCAACGTTGAAATGAACCGACTTCCAGCGGTTATCACAACACACCCCTGTTCAAAGGCCGAGCTTGTGTGATTAAAGAAAATGAAAGCAGGTACAGTATATCATATATCTTTATTGTGACATTTAGGGCTGTCTAAGAGCTTTTTGTCATCTAGGAGTCACTTTTACGTTTTATCACTGTTTCACACGACAATTGTGTGTTTCTGTACTTTGTGCATGGACTTGAAATGTCATCCAACTGTCGAATGATCCTTCTCTCACCTGATACCTCAGCTCCAAACTCATTGACACTCACTTTAATGCCGGCTAAAAGTGGACACATCAGCTGTGGGAATCAGTCGGGCATTGGCGTTCAACAGCTGCCCATGCCCATCATGGATGCCGGCCATGTGTGTCGGTATGGGCAGCAAGTGCTGCCCCATGGAGCTCGGGAGCCATTTGAAGAGCTGCTCAAGCTGATTTTAAATGTCACTCGTGTGAATATTACCTTTCCTTTTAGCTTGAGATGAAAAAAGTTGGAATGTCTCACCAACAGACGGCAGCCTCTCTGAGGGAGGGAAGGTGATATTGTCATGGCAAAAAGGTGGCAGACACTTGCGTTGTGTTTACAGCGCTAAAAGGTGAAGAGGATCAAGCCAAATTTCACCATCATGGAATTGTAATGTGACAAGGAATGGTAGTGATATTCTAATATCTATCTTGCGACATTGGCCCATGACAAAAATTAAATTTTGTCTAGAAAATAAAACATACCGGTTAGGAGGAGGCTTCTACCGAGAGAGCAGATTTATATATGACTGGAGTGTGAAGAGGACCCTCGCAGCTGAAGCTAGAGGTCAGCCATCTTCCGTTGCCCACCAGTATTCACAACCTTTATATTTCACTGACACTTTTCAATGAATGTTTTATGCTAGAAGGAATTGGAGTCTCTCAAAAAACAAACTTGACTGTTTGCATCGACTATCGAGAGTAGATTACCTCAGTACTGGGAATTGTGAATTAAGACAATAAATGTGATTATGCTTTGCCTTCATTTCATTTTTTTAATGCTTCTGACAACATGATGTAGACGAATCTTTGATAAGCAGTGACTCCGATATATACCTTAGAATAATTTTTTAATATTGCTTTCTTGCTCAATGTGCAGTGTAGCGCTTCTCCCTGACTTATTGGTACAACCTTGCAGCATACGTGGTGGTCGAGTGGTGGTCTCCCAAATTGCAGTTGGAGGTTCAATACCTGGACATTGCGACCAGGCTGAAGACCCCTTTTTTGCAAGACTGTGAACCTCCAGTTGCTCACGATGCTGCGTCCTCGGAAGGTGAATGAGGTAACGGTGGGAAACGCTATCAAAGGTTGAAATGTGCTTCTACCCCGTTTTCGCCATTGACACAAGGTGAAAATGCCGCGGAGAATTCAAGTTAGGTGGGTGCAGCGCTTGGCAACGTAAAATGGCCGCCGATGGCTTCATTTCTCCTGGCGTCAAGTTGGCGACATTGTTGGTCCATTCATATAGAAGTCGTGTGCGCTCGCGTTTTCTTTTATTTTTAGGCCGCAAGATTCCGAGACCGCTTTGCTCGTCTATTTAGCGACAGAACGAGACACAAAACTAAAACATTGTCGGCCCGGAACACGTCGCTGGACACGACTTCCACTTTTGCGATCGAATTTCGCAGGCGACGAGGTACGGCTGGTCCACCGCTTCCGGCCTCTCAGGCCCGACGTCGACTTCTGCTCACGGCCGCCTTGTGCGCACTCATTTTCTTGGGAGAGTCGCTGCAATGGACCGGTGAGTGGGCGAAACATGGGCGGTGAGAATGAGTCAATAATAATAAGAAGAAGAAGAATACATTTCATTTATAAGCGCCTTTCAAGACACTAAAGGACACTTTACAACCAAAACAAGAATAACAAAACCACAATAGAACATGTCAGCTTGTGTATTGGATATCACAGTAAAGTTCAATAGTTCCGCGTCGTAATTTTGCCAAACTACATTTTTTTGTTTAATTAATGTAGAATTGGTGGTTAGCATGTCTCTCTGACACTTCGAAGGTGTGTGGTTGGAATCTCTGACCGTGTATTCTCCCTGTATCACTTCGCACGTTCTAAAAATATGCGCAGCAGGTGAAGTGAAGACTGTAATTGCCATCGACGTGAATGTGAGTTTTAATATGCTTTGTGACTGAGTGGCTACGAAAACGTGGAGCTACAAATGCGGCGTAAACATTTGGTCGCTAAATACGTTCTAACGTATTTAAATACGCTCCAACTGATTTATTTTGAAAAACGTTCGAACGTACTGGTAGGCTAAGCGTTAAACCTCTTCCCCCATAATGCCACGCTGTAGTGTGTTATGCACGCGCAAATAATACTTTTTTTTTTGCCACACATGATACCATCGTTGTCCTCCATGTTTTCCATCTCTCCCTGCTGCAACACACCCGATCCAAATGGTCTTTTGACATCGGCCCTCCAGGACCGAACTTTGACACCTGTCCATTATACCAATTTGTTTATGAAAGATGAAGTATACATTGTAGACATTTCAGGATTTATTGGGTTCGTGATTTCTGTTCTGCGTCCCCCACCCACCATAGGGTATGCGTATGTGCAAGTCAATGATCACTATGTTGCTGCAAACAATAAACACCTCACATGGATCCATAAATGTGCAATCATGCAAACTATGAACATGATGAAAATATAAGTGCTGGGTATTTTTCTTCATTTTGTGGTGGCAGAACTGTCACAGTGGAGCACTACAAGGCGGCCATGTTGCTGAGTGGTGCAGGTGATGCTCTGGGCTACAGGAACCAGCAGTGGGAGTACAATGAGTCTGGAGCAGCCATTCACAAGGTCAGATCAAGTATGCCAGTGTTTCCCAACCTCATTTGAGCCAAGGAACATATTCCTGTGTAAATTAGAGCGCCCCCCCTCTATTGAGTTTCAGTTTGGATTCTCCTTCTTCTGCAGGAGCTGGAGGAGCTGGGCGGGCTCAAGAACATCAAGGCCGAGCTGCCCGATTGGCCCGTGAGCGACGACACCGTCCTGCATCTGGCCACGGCCGAGGGACTCGCCACTGGTGCGCTCCAAATTGCACGTTTTCCTCGTTTCTGCCTCTCATGTCTTCTCCATGATTCCATTGACGCGATGGGCCCGTGTGGTCGTAATGAGGCCTCATCAGACAGGAGCGTGCGCGAAAGCACACAGACACAAGCCGCCCTCCTCATCAAGGCTGAAGGTTAAATCGCATTTGCGCCCCTTTGTGGCGTTATTGGGGCGAATGGGAGGCGCAGCTGTGACCTTTACAGTGATGAAGGCAAACAAGCTGCAGACCTCACAGCGGTGTCACATGTTTTGTAAAATGGCAACGCGAAGCCCGGCTGATGTTTTAACCCAGTTAGCTTCCTCGTTGGTGTTTTTTTTTTTTTTTGTAATGAATTTATACCCGCTTTGGCCCTGAGCGCAGAACCAGTGAAGAGATTAGATTTGCAGGAAAAAGTGTAAGATGGGGTCCCCCAGCATTTGCAAATTCTGAGTTCCAAATTTGTGACAGGTTCATAAAAACAAAACCTCCACATTCTATCATATTCTTTTCACTGGTCTTTCTCGTGTGTGTTTTGTTGATTCCGCATATTGGAGCTGTCATTGAATTTCGTCGCACTTTATGACACAATCACAATAATGCAATTGTGAATCTGCTTCTGAATGCCAAAGATCACAACCGAGCCCATCTTTTCCTTGACACAGGCAAGGAAGGGGAAGAGCTTCTGCATGAGGTGGCCGCTCGCTATGTGGAGGGGATGAAAGACATGGAAGGCAGGAAGCCGGGACCCTCAAGCATTCATGGTAAGAATCTGGCTCGATCAACTGGTAAACGTCCAACAGCAAAATATCAATGATGAACAGAAAAAAAAAGTCTGACCAAAGTCTTAGGGGAATTTATAAAAAAAAAAAAAGGTCATTGCCAAAACGGCAAAAACTTCAAATGATGACAGCAATGAGCTAAAATGACAGGAATGAAATCAGAACGTCACGAAAACAGAGCAGCAAAAGAACATTTTTGTTTCTTTTTAAGTAAGCTTACCAAAATAACGTAAAATTACAAAAGTAAAGCCCGAATATGGTAAAAAGCCTCAAATTCACAAGACTCAAGCTGGAATTTCAATAAGTGAATTCCCAAAGGACCTAACTAAGCGTTCCCTCACCGAAAATGAAAAAGAAAAAAAGGAATTCTTTGAAATGAAGAACATAGTTACATTTTGAAGAGTCTGAATCAAGTAAAAATCAGTGAGTGGATTTCAAAATTGAAATGTGAAATATGAATGCATCAGGGCCACATTGAAAAAAAGTTCAACGAATACAATTAAAAGTGATACAGTGAATAATTTGAGCACTCATGATGCCATTTCAGATAGGAGAGAAAAAAAAGTGCCACATGGACCATCATGCAATGTGGCCTCACTGAAAATGAATGTACAGTCATTAAAAGCTCTAAAAATCAAGTTGTCAAGAAAGTCTCGAGAATTCAATCGCAACGTCCTGAGAACAAGAAAAATGTCCCAATGGCTTCTCAGGAGTGTCCCAGCTGAGGCCCGGGGAGGAAGGCGGCTACCGAGTTGCGTACAACCCGGAGGGGACGGGCTGCGGAGCCGCAATGAGATCCATGTGCATCGGGCTCAGGTAAAGAAAATAAAAACAAGACGACTTTCTTTTTCTACCTACCGTATTGTCACCACCGTACGGCGCACCATATTCAAAGGCGTCGTGTCAGGTACGGCTGCTATTTCTGTATTGAACACGTACGCGAGACGCATTGTATTATCTGACGCTGGCTTCAAAAAGTCATCATCGAAGTGGCACAACGCGTTCATCGATTTGGGAAATTGCTCCATACACAAGGTCACCCGCATTCTGTGGCGCCGCGTCCATTTTGGAAAAAATTTCAGGCTTTTAAGTGCGTCTTTTGGTCGTGACAATACGGTAGATTAATTTAAAAAAATAAATAAAATAAAATCTGAGGGGACAAAGTGCAATCCCTGCGTGATCTTAAACAGGAGTTGGTTCTCTTTCATGCAACTCACGTTCATGTCCACGTTTTTTCCCGTGGAATCGGGCCATAACAATGCCTTCATCCCTTCATTTCATTCAATACGCATACTCTCGGTTGGTGGGCAATTCCGTCAGTACCAACGGAAGGTCCGTCAGTCCGTCACGGATACGTTTGAAAACGTTATCGTTGGAGAAAAACGGACACGCAGAACGGTGCGCGTGTGCAGGGTCCTGGCGTGATGTAAGAAACCCGAATGCAGCATGTTGCTTGCTTGTGATTTTGCCATCCTCAAGCATCCTTGAAGCTTCTCAATGACATCCTAGTTGGAGTCGACTTGTCAAACCAAATGCGCAACATTGCCAGTGCTAATGCTAAAGTGAATGGGGGATGCCATTCAAATGCAAAGAGGACAATTGGCGTCGGCTTTGCGAGTGACATTCCTTCAAAAAAAGAAACATTCATGCCGTGGAACCAGATGACACAGGTTCAAAGTTTTCCCAATCTGTGCAAAACGATTGATATGAAGAGTTCAATGGCAGTTTTTTTATTCGTGATCATCTCATCGTAAATGTGTGCTCCGTGCATGCATGCCACCGTGCTGCATCTCAGGGGCCAAAGTGCGCACAGCAGGAACAGCTGTCGCTTCCAGCCATCCATTAAATGTGTTATTATTATCAACATTTCTTGTTGTTTTAGAAATTGCTATGATCGAATTACTTTCTTAGTCCTTTGTTTTCTCATTGTTGTTTCAAGTTATATTTAAAGTAGCGTTCAAGAAATTGATCCTCCCTCAAAATTCAAGGAGACCACCACCAAGACCCCAAGACTTTGTGTTTTTTATGATACCAACACAAATTTCCGCATGACATGGCACGAAATACAAAAGCCGAGGTACCAGCTTGGGGGTCAATAAGTCCCATGACTTAAAAATAAAGAAATATGATGAAGCGATCAGGTGTCAAAGATAAAAGTCATCCAAAAAAAATGAGAGAGAATAAAGAGTTAAACGTGCAGAGATAAATAGGCATGAGGCTGTGATGGTAGTTAGTTTTTTTTTTTTTTTTTTTGAGTTTAAGTAGCTGAATAAATCCAAAGCAAGATCGAGGAGAAGTATCTTAGCAGAGACGGTGCATCGACTGATGGTGCTCGGCCTGATGATAGGCTAAAGTCGCGTGAGCTTCAAAGCCAGCACACCTGTGACTGACTGACAGAGACAGTGAAATAGACCAGAGTCAGCACAGCGATGCCAGCGCGTCACTCGGCGCCGAGTCCGAGCGCGACGCTCAGCCCCCGGAGGAGCTCGAGGACGCGGAAGAGACGGGTGACGCCAAGGCCATCGGGGAGCTCAAAGGCTACCTCCACAACTGCGAAAAGTAAGACAATCTCATTGTTTCGTGTTTCATTTGAGCTGCTTGCATCACCTAATAAAGTCGGTTTAAAAAATAAATAATAATCACTCACCGATTGAACTATGGAATGAAATCCTTTTCTTTCAGGTTTTATATCTTTTCAAAGTTCTTGAAAAGCGAAGGCGAGGGCAAGAAGAAAGTGCACACCGGCTCGGCCAAGTGCATGCAGCCCGGCTGTAAAAACAAAGGTGTGACCTACACCTCAATTTCCAGGGCCCATCTAAGGGCGCACTATCAAACCGTGAGTTCAACCCCCAAAATTTGACATTTATTTTCAAGCAGTGAGAAACAAGGTACAGAGTCAATGTCAAGGATCAACTAAGTTAGGAAAGAATGATGAAATAAGCATGAAACAGACTGTTTTCCTTTCTTTATTTTTTGGGGGGATTGAAATAGGTGCACCCTGGAAAGAAGTCGGCGCTCACAGCTGCGCTGGCCGGAAACAGCAAGCGTGGCCAGCGCACAAAGCATCCCTCCAAGAAGCGCCGGCTGCCCGCGGAGGAATCTCGTGGAGAAACGTTCAGCCAGGAGCAGGCCAGGCAGATGTTCACAAGGTGAGGACAAATCAATCAATCAATCAATCAATCAGTCAGTCAGTCAATCAGTGCGCCTGTAGTTCATGAAGTGAATCATTTGTGTTTATCAGCAGGTGATTTGATTTCTCTTTCTTTCTTTCTTGTCTCCATTTTCGTTTGCAGGTGGTTTGTGGAGACACTTTCGCCCCCCAGCCTTTGTGAACACCCCTACACCAGGGAGCTGTTTGCCTACCTCAATCCCGAGTTCCAGCTCATGTCCCGGCGGACGCTGGCCAGGGACCTGGACGAGCTGATGGAAAAGGCCAAGCTGGAGGTCAACCAGCTGCTGTCCAAGCAGCAGTGGCTGGCAACCACCGCCGACAGCTGGACGGTGCACCACCGGTAACACTCTCAAGGTCTCCACAGATTGACACTGAATGGAAATCAATGATGAATATCATCCCATTTTTCCACAGCGCCTTCCTGGGCATGACTGTGCACTGGATCGACAGGCTCAGCCTGAAGAGGAAGAAGGCAACTCTGGCATGCAGGGAGTTGAAGGTAAAAATGAGAAGAGCTCGTGTTTGAATTTCATTCATACACTTTGGCCTCTGCGTAAACGAAAGAAATCAAAAATCCTCAAAGGTACTCAAACGACAACCGTTCTTCGTAGGTCGGCCAGACACATCAGCTCCTGGGGGAAGCCATCCATGAGGTCCACCGGGAGTTTGGCATTGTCGAGAAAGTGGTAGCGACCACCACGGACAATGGCGCAAACTATGTCGCGGCCTCCAATGCCTTTGGGGAATCGGAGGAGAGGGGGGAGGTTCAAGAGGAAGAAGAGGGGGAGGAGGAGGAGGAGGAGGAAGTGACAGGGCAGCCCGGCGACGTTCAGGGACAGCTAGACGACGAGGACATTGACGCCGAGCCTCAGATCAATCTGCCACCCCACCGCTGCTGTAGGTGAGAAAAAGCCCGTTTTAAAGATGTCAACTTGGAAGCGCGGCGCTCACTTGATCGAATGAAAGCGAAAAATGCAAATAAGGGTTGATCGTGCGAATCACTGTTTTTGTTTCAGCGCGCATACGTTGAACCTCATGGCGACCACCGACATCAGGGAGGTCAAGGGCTGGAGCAAGGGGGACACTCCTTGGCGCCGGGCAAGCACCAAGGCCCGGCGCCTCTGGAACCTCCAGAACCGGAGCCCCACCGCCGCCAGTCAGATCAAGGAAGCCGTCAAGAGGAAGCTGACCACCCCCGTTGCAGTGAGGCAAGCTTAAAAATTGGGACATTCAAATTCAAACTTCTACCGAAGAGCTGATGCGATATCTTGTGGAATGAATTGATGCTTTAAAATCGAAAGCAAACATCTGAACTGCGATTTACATTTTTTTTCTGCAGGTGGAACTCCTACTTGAACAGTGTGAAGGTGCTGTTGGAGGTGATGTCTTTGCCTGAGCAGGTGGAGGCCATCAACAACATCATAATTCATCACAACGCGGGAGTAGCGCTTCAAGATCAGGACATTAAGGTATGAGGGGGGTGGGGGGGTCCAAATTCCTCAATATTTTGAAGTATGCGCGTTTTTGGCCAAACGAGCAAGCAAGAAATTTATCTCATACTTCCGGGTGCCCACAGAGCTTTCGTCCAAAACAGCCAATTTTGGATACGTATTGAATTTCCTCTGAACTTTTCAGGTCCTGACAGAGTACAGGGACGTCATGAATCCTGTGGCGGACACCCTGGACAGCCTGCAGGGCGAGGACAACGCCTACATGGGCATCCTCCTCCCGACGCTGCTGGTCTTGAAGAGGTGGCTGCTGCAGCACCAGCAAAGGGGTGAGCTGCAGTATGCAGAGCCCCTGGTCCAGGCCCTCCTCAGAGGATTTGACAAAAGGTGTGTGCAGAGTATCGGGACTCCCAAAAAATATAAATGCCTTAGGTTACGGACGACAAACCGTGCCAGCTGAATGTAGTGAGCCCCCCAAAAATTATTTGTGTACATTCGCCACTTGGGACGAACAGCCATGCATCTCAACGCTATTTGATGGAATATTGTATGGGTTTTGAAAACATTTTTAGGTTTGGCTTCCTCTTTGAAGACCAAGACCTGCTCATGGCCTGTGCCCTGCACCCATCCTTCACCCCTGCTGTCCTGACAAGGATCGTCTCCAGCCAAGCTGACGCCATCAAGGGCAGGATCCTGAGGGAGCTGAAGGCCATGGTGCGCCCTGGGGAGGAGGAGCAGCAAGAGCAACAGCCAATACAGGCCCAGTCTGACGTAAAGAGCCACCAGGACATGGTTTTCAAGTAAGGGTTCGTGTTCACAGTCAAAACTTTACACGCACTCATTCTACTCATGTTGGAGGTTCTAGGAGAGACACCGCAAAGCGACGCCGTGAACCGACACTGCGAAGCGACATCCCTTCTATGTTGACGTTTAAAAAGATCAGTGTGTAGATTAATCGTTTTAAATATTGATACATTTATCGACAAATATATAGATGTAGAGACAGAGCTTTATATCTATCTATATTAAACATTCCATTATTTCTCAATTTTCTCATGCTGATTACAGGGAACTGTTTGGCACTGACCAGGAGGTGATGAGCCAGGATGTGGACCTGGTGTTGAGGGCCAGCATGCAGGACTGGAAACCCCGGCGTGAAGCCCTCTCCTGGGCCCTCTTCCCCAAGGAGCACCGTGAGGCGTGGGTGGACTTGTTCATCAAGTACAACACCCCTCTGCCAAGCTCCGCTGCCGTTGAGAGGATGTTCTGCATCGCTGGCGACATCCTCAGGCGCAAGAGGGCCGCCCTGGCCAGCCACAACTTTCAGAAGCTGGTTTTCCTCAAGGGGAACATGTCCCTGTTGGGATACCCCAGCTACCAAGGGCAGTTCGGGGGGGGAGAAGTAGAAGGAGAAGCTGTTGTATTATAAGATTTTTATTGTATTTCTTTTTTGTAAAGTGGTCCAAACTGTTTCTAAATGAATACAACTGTGCTGTTGTTACGCTTGTAATTTTTTTTTTTTACAAATGGTCCTCAAATAGCAGTGGCAAACTCTACCAGTAAATATTAAGGATGCAAAACAGATTAAAAAAAATATATATATCCATTTTTGGAACCGCATATCCTCTCTTTGTGTCTCGGTGGTGCTGGATTTATTAATTCAAATTAGGATTCAAAATACTTTTTTTTTTTCAAACGCACTTTGACTTCCCCCTCATCCCCAAATCAGTTTTTGTCCATTTTGGTAACAAATGACAGGTATTCTGTGCAGGTACCCGAAGCCTGACCAGCTGTTTCCCTTGGTTGCGGTTGCCGTAGAAACGGGCAGAATGACACACCCTCATCCCACCGGTTTCCTCGGAGGCGTGGCCTCGGCCCTCTTCACCGCGTATGCCGCCCAGCGGCGACCTTTGACCACGTGGGGCCTCGGCTTGCTCAACGAGGCCTGCCCCATCGCCAGGAACTTCGTTCAGGCTCGGGGGTTCGCCGTGGACGAGACCGAGCGTGACTGGAACTACTTCTGCGATAAGTGGCAGTGGTACGAGACGCACGCGTTGCAGTTATCATCGGCTTCTTCCAGAAGCGTGGAAATGCTAATGTGGAGTAAAACATTCTTGACTGACAAATACACTCGAACATACTTGTAGGCTGAATGCCAAAAAAAAAATCCTGAATTCCACGTGGTTTTTATTCACACGCGCAAGTTTGTTTTTTTTTTTTTTGGGGGGTGGCGCAGGGGGTCGACAGTATACTGTAACCAATATGTTCAAAAATTGATTTTAATTTTATTCACAATTTTTGTGATTTATTATTGTCTGCATGTATCGCAGACCTAAAACCATTAAAATCACTATTGACTCAACAAGTGAACGCATAGCTTTCATGTAGGCCAGGCAAGTCCAGCGACGGGCCTGGAGGGGCCACCGTCTTGCCGGTTTTCCATCGCTCCCGGCTGCAACACCCCTGATTCAAATGATCAGCTCATCAGCCAGTTCTGAAGCAGCATTAGAACAACCCCGGTTATTTGAATCAGAGGTGTTGCAGCTGGCAGAGCTGGAAAACAGGCAGGACCGAGTTTGGACACCCCTGATGGAGGCCAAGTGCCAAGGGGGGGTGGGGGAATGATTGCGCATGCGCGATCAAGATGCCCGTTTTTCGTCTGACACGCGTCGTAATTAGGATGCTCGAGCATTGTTGGCAGAACCGAGAATCGCGTGGTTTTGTTATGACGGCTATATCGGCGAGACCGCATTATAGGGCTGCTTTTAAGGAACAACTACTGGTAGGACAACTTAGGCATCTTACCAGTGGGGGGCAAAACGGTGAACTCGTTGACATGTGGACACAACTTGTACTTTTAGTTACGTGTTAGATGTTAACTAGTAAAATGTTGACATAATTATTCTTCCATGTTGTGCACTATTTTTACTCCTCTTTTTGTCTCCCTTACTCTCTAACGGATTTGCCGCAGGTACCTGGATGCGAGGGGTATCTCGAACGGCGTGGGTCCTGTCATCTGGCCCGACTTGTACGGGCCGGCCGAGAGAGACCAAGTGTACAAGACGTTCAGCCTGGCGGGCTGGGCGGGACGCAGCGGCCACGACGCTCCCATGATCGCACTCGATGCTCTGCTGGCTGCCGGAGACGACTGGGACGACCTCATGGGCAGGGCCGCCTTTCACGGAGGTTCACGTTTCAATCTGGCAGCATTTAACATTAGGGCCCCACCAATTTGGACAACCCCAAATACATACCCTGACATGAACTGCCAACCTGTCGTACGTGCACCGACACTGACTTGTCCCCAGTGTATTTGACAAAACAAACCCTGAAATTGACAAAATGTGAACTGCGATTGGGTGGAGACCAGCCCGCGTGGCCCATCTCCACCCAAATCCGACCGAACTGTTTCGTGACCGCTTTGTCTTTCTCGTGTTTAGGCGACAGCGACAGCACTGCCGTGATCGCCTGCTGCTGCTGGGGTCTCCTCCACGGCATCCTGGGAGTACCCGAGGGCAACTACGGCCGGTTGGAGTACCGCCATCGACTGGAGCGCAGCGGCGAGCTGCTCTACTCGCTGGCGTACTGACCGCAGCGAGGGGAAAGTAGGCCACGCGCAGACATGTTGACGTGAGACAGGGCGCGCCTAGTTGCGCTGTCGCACTCGCCCCGAGGCGACAGCATGTCCCACTGACCCACAGAGTCGCCCGCCCGCCCGCTGTCACACCATGTTGCTCCAGCATGGATGCTGCTGTAATCAAGAGGGCTTCCCCTAGTGGCCGTTTGAAATAACCCCACAAATGTTAATATCCAGTTTAAGGTCCATGTACTAGTACATCAGAAGACAGTTCAGTCCAACAAAATTTCCCTCCCTGCAGTTATCCCCCAAATGCGACGAGTAATAGCAATGCCACACAAAGGGTGAAGACAATTTTTAGATTTGATTTTTGTGAGGAAGTCCGAAATCCCATTGAGGTGTCTTTGAAATTTCCAGATCGCTGATCAAAAATATTCCTCATAGTCTTTCATGGAAATGTGTTGGATAACACAGGCCAACAAAAAAAACAAACAAACTAAAAAAAAAAAAAAACAGTCCCCCACCCTCTGAAGATATTTTAAGGCGTTTGATGCCAGAAATGTATTAAAGGTTAGAGGAGCACGCAGTCATACATTTAATTGACATCCTAAATCCACATTAACAAAGTCAAAGCCCTTTTTTTGTGTGTGTGTTTTGTTTTTGAATGCATGTTTTTGACGTTCTTATCATTTTGGTGAACTGGATCTGAACACGGTGTCGCTGTCGCAACGATATTCAGCCGACTGCATGGGCTACTACGCGTCTGCGGGAAGCATCAGCTTCTGCTGAGGTGGCTGTGCCTGCCCGCGGACTGTTCCAAGCCTTGAGTTATTTTTATTATTTTTTTTCTCTCCAGCGTGACACTCGGCCGTCACACTGGAATGGTGCTCTGAGGGATTTTGTCCAGGTGGCGACAGCAGAGGCTGTCGTTTCCCCTTCTGAAAAACATTTTGAGGCCAAAGAGAGGGCGACCCCTGAATGGCAGCGCGGAATTCAGACAAACCAAAATCATGTAAACAACAATTTAACCTCCTTGGCAGAGTGGACTTATTATCTAACTGTGATTTGGGAGCTCGCGTGGACTTGATACAGACTATTTTGATCTCTGTGTTGGCTTCACCTGAAGTCCCACTTGGAATTGCCGCATGACCCAGATTGAGTCCCAACTTTAGCATCCAGCTGTCAGTGATGAGTTTTCTCCGTTAAGACCTCGCCAATGAATTTCAACGTCGCCGAAGCTCACACACGCGTGTAAATGGTCGCCTGTGACAAGAACGGTTGGTCCAGTGCAAGTTCTGAAACCTCTTTTCGCCACATAGAAGTTGCCTATTTGGATGTTGGGACGCATCAGGAAGACAGCGATGGGTTCATAGCAAAAGATGATTTCACTCATGCTATTGGATTGGAAAACAGTGCAATGATATCACCAGTCAACATGGAAATCATATGTGAAGAAAGAGACAAACATGTTGAATAAATCTTGTCATAGAGTAAGTCATTTTTAAAAAAGATGACCATGTATAGTCAAGCCTTTTTAAAATCACAACCACGTATAGAAAGCTGTTTTTAAAAAAATGATCACAAACCATTAACCTGCCTTGCATGTTTTGGGAAAGAGGAGGACCTGGAGAAAACCCACGCAGCGAACATGCAAACTCCACATGGGAAGGCCAGAATCGGACTCGAACCCTGCACTGCTGTACTGAGAAGTCGATGAACCAACCACTGGACCACAGGCCCCAGCGAAAAGAAAAAGTGTAGTTTAAATATATATTTTTCTGAAGGCCAGCAAAATCATCTGTCGGTGGGCATGCGCAAAGACATTTGAACATATTCAAATAAGATTAGCATGCGGTAATTTTATACAAATACATCTTGATTTCAGCAGCGCTGACACAACGGCTGCAATAAAGCGCTTTCCAGAATTTTGGCAAATTATCTTCTCCCCGTCCAACGACACACAACCTTCCCATTGATGCATTTTCAAAGTTCGGTAAACTTTGTTTTGGAGTTGGTGGGGGAAGCATGTTGATTGTTGTATATTCCCAGAGACAGTGACGATGAGGGGGAAAATGTATTGGGGCCGTGCAGAAACTCGTCCCACGTTTCCTCCCCAATATTAAATGAAGTTTGATTTCACCATGATTCTTTGGGTGTTGCAGGTTCTGCAGCCTCCGGACCTCGTTGAGACCTGCAGAGACCAAAACCCCCCAGACGAGACTTGGGTTTCAACTATTCCAACGGAGTTGCCCTTTCAACAAAGCATCTTGAAACAATGAACAAACTTGCACCTTTGGAAGTGTGTGTTTATGGATGTTTTATTAGTGACTGAAGCAGACAAGAAACTTGTGTTTTACTCAAGCACTTTATTTACGATCGCCAATAAAGCAAAGCAACAAAACGACACTATCTCTTTGTGATGCTCGTCTTCAATTTGAAAGCAAGTTGGCTTTGCAAACTCCCTCTCCTGATCTCAGGATGGCATTATGAAGGGAGCGGAGGGGAGAAACTGGTGAGGTTGAGGGCTTATGTGTTAGGTTTGAGTGCTGTCATGAAGTTGAGGGGCGAAGTTTAGAACACAAGAGGCCACTCACTCACTCCACGAGAGATGCCAACCGTCTCACAAAGCGCACATGTAGATGTTAGCCTATGATTACATATACTTTTTTTCGAAATTTTCGCGGCAGAATGGCCTAATGGTAAAAGATGACGCGTAGTAATCAGGCGACCAGGGTTCGAGCCCCACTGTCTGCTACGTTGAGAAATTAAGCAAGAACCGAACCCGGGTTGTCCGGGGACCACGTCAGGTCTTTACCCATTCGACCACGCAGATAGCTTTGCTGGTAATTTGGTTGGTCGTATTTAGATAACGTTACACGCTTTTCAATATTTGGTGATAATAATTATATCTGTTAAAAGTAACTTACACTATTATCAAGCTATAGCTCAATGGTATACGATTGTGAGTCCCGACTGGTTAACTCAAGTTCGAACCTGGGTCAGTGTTTTAGGTTTTTTTTTTCACATTCACTGTCTTTGTTAATATATATGTAGAAGAAATTGAGGTCACAGTCGAACAATAGCTCAGTAGTATACGACTGAGAGTACCACCTGGTGAACTCCAGTTCGAGCCCTGGTGTTTGCCCTAAGCAATTTTTTTTCCTTCACATTCATCTTCTTTATTTTATATACATGTAAAAGCAAACGGTATCTCCGTCAGTCAATGGCCCAATGGTATACGACTGGGACTCCCGACTGGTGAACTCATGTTCGAACCTGGGTCTGTGCTTTAGGTTTTTCACATTCACCGTCTTTGTTAATATATATGTAGAATTAACTGGGGTCACTGTCGGATAATAGCTTAGTGGTATACGACTGAGAGTACCACCGGGGGAACTCAAGTTCGAGCCCTGGTGTTTACCCTAAGCAATTTTTTCCTTCACATTCATCTTCTTTATTTTATATACATGTAAAAGCGGAAGGTATCTCCGTCAGACAATGGCCCAATGGTATACGACTGGGAGTCCGGACTGGTGAACTCAGGTTCGAGCCCGGTCTTCACTTTTAAATATTTTTTCCCCTTCCCGGAAGTGACGTCATCGCCGGAAACCTATTTAAACGGTGACAACGAGGCAATCGTTCTTTCTCACCTTCGACAACCTCCGCTCGTCCACACGCTGCTCCTGCTCCGCAACAAGGTCAATTCTTGGAGTTTCCAGTCATGTGGAGACCAACGGGACAAGCACTGTTACACTTGTGGCCATACCAGTGACTGATGCGCAACTCTCTCCTCAAGACTTAAGTCTTTGAGAAGTCTTCCGCTGCAGTGACCACTCAGCATGAAAGGCTTCGAGTGAGTTGAGGATGGACTTAGTCATGAAAGGCAAAGACTCGAATTCAAGTTCAACAATTTATTGGACAGAAAAGCAAACAGGACAATGTGAAAGCATTTTACCAGTCAATGTTTGCGTGGGCCAGTTCAAGTTGCACACACACAAACACTGACGACAGGCCCGAGATGGGAGCAGCTTAAGTCTTGCATGTGCTTGACCAGCTCATCTGTGATGTCACATCTCAAGACACACCAAGGGGCACATGAGCATGTCCGACTTCTCTCACTGAGACAAAAACTAAGTGCCGTGTACTCCACAACATCATGATCAAACTCTTCTGGTCAAGTTTTTAAATGACATTGAAGTGGGCCAAGTTATGTATATATATTATATACATATGCGCACATACACAACGTTTTAAACTAACTTGGGCTTCCTCAATCTTAAAAACATATTCCAGAAGTGCTTCATGATGCTATGTGTAGTTGCCAATGTTGTGCAGTACACGGAGCAGAAGTTTAAGTTGAGTGAGAGACAGGCGGGCGCACTCACCTCCACCTTGTGGTGCGACGTGACATCAGACATCAGCTCTCCAAGCACACAACAAGGCTCAATACTCACATGTGTTCAATTGCAGGTTGGACTCCCTTCAGCATGTCCTCCAGGTCTGTCGGCTGCACCTTTGGCCCAGTCGCCTCTTCGATCTAGTCAGGCAGAAAGAAAATCAAAAGTGGGACAGCCCCCAAAAAAAAAATTGGTAGTTTTTGTTTTGATTTGTGTTATTCTTAACAGAATAAGTGGCAGACCTTCACTTCTAACACGTCCATTTCCAAATCTGCCCGCTCGCGGCTTTCTCTCGACATCTCATGTACATTGAGCAACCACCTTTCAATCAACTGCTCAACTCTTGAAAGACTCAACGCCGTTCAACCGTCCACTAAAGTTCCCGTAAATTGGAGACAGCAACACTGCCTCCTCCTCGCGGACGAAAACGGGATCTCAAAGTCATGAGAAATGCTCACGCCACATAGAGAAACACGTGAAAATCCTGCATGGATTTGGGGAATCGAAAACACGTGTGAAAATGACGAGTATATTTGTGGACATTATCAACACGTATTTTATGTAATTGAGTATTTATTTTATGAAAACCACAAATATATTTCGAAAAACAATTGTAAAAAAGTCACGGATGCATTTGTGGGAATAGTTTTCAGACATATCTGCCGTCATTTGTGAACTGGCCACCGTAGTTGTGTTTTCACGATAACTTCCATGACTTCGTAACAATCAACAAACTAGAGGAGTGACGTGTGGTAATGATGCTCCGAAATTGTCTGCATCAATACATTTGCATTTAGCTCGTTAAAATGTGAAAACTACTTACTGTGAGTCCGGCTTGAAGTCCGCGGAAGAACTTGCTCGCTGAACCGGATGTGGTACCCTTCTTGTTGTTCTTGTTGGCCTTGTTCTTCTTCTCGGTAGATTGGATCTCCATGGTCCATATCGCCCCCTGCTGTCCAGGAAGCCACAAAGGCATTTGGCAAGAAATCAGAATCGGAATCAAATTCACCGTATTGGTCAAGAATGCAAAAGCACAAAAGGAATTGACCCCCCGCCCCCTTCCAGTTACGACTCGTCCAGAGCAATATATACAGAACAACAAAACATTTAACCTCCCCGACAAAGGTACCCAGAGAGTTGTATTTTTTGGTGGGACGACACTTGTCAAGTTGCGTGAGGGCCACTTCAGTCGCAGGTGTGTCATTCCTATTATGCACCAGTAGACGGCGCCTTTACGTTTCGTGAAGACCTTTTGTTGTGTTGTTGTTTGGTTTGTTTTGAAGCGTCAACACTTTCGACGACGCGGTCGAATTTTACAATGATACTGTCTGCTGTTAGCTGACATTGGAAAATCGAAATCGGGTTGATTGTTTCCCCTTGCCAATGGCGAGCCCTCTGCTGGAGTTTGAGACTGAAATGTTTGTGAGACTGTCCGGCTGTGACGGGCTGCTCCTGGTGGCGCAGGGGCTTGGAATTGACCGCATTCTGCTGCAGTTCATGCGGGCGTACTCGGAGCAAGGAGGCTACGACACGACCAGCGAGGCTACGGCATGACCAGCTCCGAACACCTCCCCTCCCTTCCAGCAACTCAACACCACCACGACATTTTCAGTGTATTCAGAAAAAGATAGCCTGCGGTCATTTTATACACTACATCAGCGCTTTCATAACAGCTGTCATCAAACGGTTGGCAGAATTTTGGCAATTGATCCTGTGCCGGACGGTCAGGACGTCGCCCCCCGCAGCTCCCGAGAGCTGGTTGAGTCGGCGCACCTGTGGCTGAAATCAAACTGTGGCGGGGCTCTTTTCTGGCTCTCTCGCACACCGAGACAAATGATCAGATTCGCTGTGCGGCTTCCGCCGACCTTGGTTTTGATTCCACCGTGATCCTTTGGGTGTTGCAGGTACTTAAGCCCCCGGCCCCGTTGGGACCAGCAGTGACCACCCCGCAACCATCCAGACGAGACTTGCGTTTCGACGGTTCCAGCGGAGTTGCCCTTGTCAACAAAGCTTGAAACAATGAATAAAGTTGTCTTACACGTTTGGAAGTGTGCGGATGGGTGTTTTATTTGCACTTTATTGACGATCGCCGATAATGCAAAATGACACGATCTCTTTGTGATACTCGTCTTCAATGTAAAACGAACTTGGCTTTGTAAATCTCAGGATGGCATGATGAAGGCAGGCAGTGGTTGGGAATACTGGCGGGGTCGAGGGTTTTGGGTGAGGTCTGAATGCCTCACGTCGCCCAAAGGCAAAGCCCATCTCATAAGTGACCACTCCACGAGAGACGCAGATAGTCTCACCAAATAGTTCAGACGCGTGTGGACACCGCCTGTGACTACATGTAAAAAAATCCGGAATTTACGTGCCGA